GCACCAGTAGCAGCCCTCATTTCCCCTCAGAAAGCTCTCCAGGTGGCCGATTGCGTTCCTGCAGCTCTGTTCGGAGCTCAGCAAGTTGTCGGCTGAAGTCCACCTGCCGTTTCGGGCGATTCCTAAAGAAACGTCGTGGGGCGCTAAGGTCAAGCCGGTTTGCCAGCTAAAGAGAGCCCAAAAAATAATCAATTACTATCAAAATTTGGGCGCGAAAACCCCTGGAAAAGGGTTCGAACTAACACTAAAGTTGCCATAAAAGGTGATGATTTTATTATGCAAATTTGATCGCCCGCCTGACAAAAAACTGCCAAACATCCAAAACACCAACGGAACCGAACACTTGGAAACAATAGAAACAGGGTTTTCCATCCATACGCTTTTATGGCCATTTCATTGCTATGGTCAGATCCCTGCTTTGCATGTTTCCAACAATACCTTTTCAGCGAGATGTCAAACCTTTTTCGGTTTCCAGGTATGAACAAAATGCTTTCAAAAGGCACTTGGAAGATCAAAGTGCGAAAAGGCATGAAAGTTGTAAAATGTTGTGAACACAACTTCTATTCTGCTGATTCGATGTGAACCTATAACAATTTCTCAAGCGGATCACAGTGGTATGTGGGACCTAAGACCCTGAAGCAACAGCACGGGCAGCATAGAAATCACCACACATCCCATCGTTTTTGTAAAAAAACATAAAGCCCCTAGTAGCGTCCTTGCTCCGTTCGTAGCGATGCCCTTTGCTCCTAATAGCGTCCTTGCTTCGTTCGTAGAGATGCCAGGAGCACCTAGTAGCGTCCTTGCTCCTAGTAGCGATGCCAGGAGCCCCTAGTAGCGTCCTTGCTCCTAGTAGCAAGGAACGGTGAAGATCAATCTGAACAAAAAGAACATATCCGAGCCGTGCCCTCAACACAAGCTTGAGGCAAACGCTCCAGTGAGCAATGTCTCATGTCTTCGCTGCACACACCATGAACAATCGCCTCTGTTGAGCACTGACCATAAGCGGAGCCAAACAGAAACTTGCATCGCTTGCGCATGGGCTGCACTGTGTGGACTTCCAAAATTGGAGGGGCCTAACATGCGCTGGGATGTCGTTGAGACTTCAGGAGGTCGTTGCAGTGCTTTGATGACTTGTTCAACGGTGAGACCAGCGCCCGAAATTCAGTATATGAGAGCCAAGGCACTTAGACACTTTTTTGAGGTGAGCGATCCAAAAGAGACGGGAATCGCAAAACTTTTTGAGGAGAAAAACTTGAATTGAACAGGATTAACAATGATAAACATAAATATTTCCCGACGTGGTATTTAGAGCACTCTGCGGACACCTTCCAAACTTGAGCAATTTACAGCGTTCTTGGATGTTCTTAAAGCTCCGAATGTGAGATCTGCTAGTGTTTTGAAAGTTGCTGAAGATGTTATGCGTTTGCCTTTTGAACTCTGAATGAAGCATATTAGTGGCCTTTGCAGAATAGAAACATATCTCCGACGTACAGCCACTGGGAGACCTTCAGCACTTTGGGTGTCACGTGTGTGACCGGCATGACCAGTGTGACCTGTACTTTAAAAACTATTGGGTTCTGGGCACCAGATTTGCATCTTGGGGTTGTAAGCGTTCAAGCATGTTTAAGCCGCTTGGTCTTTGCGGCGGCAGAATGGTTCCTAGTAAAAATGCACCTTGTTACTAGTAGTTTGGCCAGGAGCCCCGTTCGTAGCGTCCTTGTTCCTAGTCCTTCCTTGTCGAAACGCCCAGGGGTGTGAAGTCGTGTTGTCTGCGACGGGTCTCAACGCGCAACAGAAGTCAAGTTGCGTGTAAAGATCCTTTGTGGCAAGGGAAGGGACAACAAATGTGTCAGGCATGACAGGACAAGGCAAATGCATAGCCTGCAGCGGTCCAGGTATGAGAAAACAACTTTCTCTGCCAAGGGCGTGCTGATTGCATAGTGACAGCAAGGACAGACCCGCGCAATCAAGTTCCCCACAAGCCATGTGTTGTCTTTTCCAAAAAATAGATCACACTCGCGATTTGCGAAGTATATATATAGTTCTTCTTCTTTGAGTGGGACAACAGGTTTCAACTAACTATTTCATTGCATAAACTCATCCTATACATTTTGCTGGCTCTTCTCTATCTCGATACTTGAGCAGAGATGGAACAGGCAGGGTACAGAAGGAAAAGAATGAAAGAAAGAGCAAAGGGTTTCAAGAGGTCTCTCGACTACGGAAGACTGCTAGTGCCCAGGCTGACTGGAATGTGTTTACAGGCAATACTTGCTAAGTGACAAATCCATCCTCACGGTCTTAGCCTTACAAAGGAATTGCTGTTTAAAATCATGGACTTATGTTTTTGTTGTTTGCTTTTTGGTTGGTGTTCTAAACTGGGTAAGGGAAAGGAAAAAGGGAAAGGAAAGGGAAAAGGAAAAAGTACAGTAAAAAATGAGAAAGGTTAGCGGAAAGGGAACGGATAAGGGAAAGGACAGGAAAAGGGAAAGGAAAAGGGTATATGGGGAACGGAAAAGTAAGAGAAAAGGCACAAGTTCAGGGCAGGAAAGGGAAAGGAAGAGGGAAAGTGAAAAGGAAAAGAACAGGGAACGGTTAAGGAAAAGGGAAGGGATAAGGAAAAGAAAAAGAACAGGGAAAGGGTTTGTATAAGGGGAAGGAACATGGAAAAACAGAGAATATGGAATTGGTAAAAGGGAAAGGGGCAGGGAAAAGAAAAACAACAAGGAAATGGTATAAGGGAAAGACACAGGGACAAGGAAAAGAAAAGGGAAAGGGACAGGGAAAAGGAAAACAAAAAGGAAGGGCGTAAGGGAAAGGGACAGGGAAAGGGAAAAGAAAAGGGAAAGGGACAAGGTAAAGGAAAAAAGGAAAAGGGTATAAGGGAAAGAGACAGGGAAAGGAAAAGACAAGGGAAAGGGACAAGGAAAAGGATAAAAAACAGTAAAAGGATATAAGGGAAAGAGACAGGGAAAGGAACAGGCAAGGGGAAGGGACAAGGAAAACAACAGGAAGATGCTGGTCTGGACCACTTGAATGTAGTTCACGTTGGCCCAACTTTTGGTCTGGCTTCTTTGGGTTGCATTCCGGGTGCCTTCGGACTAATTTGTTGAAACGCCTCCATTCGGTCTTTGAGCAATGAAAACACTCAAGGAAAGGCTCGCGATACCCAACTACTATAGGCTATCTCAAGAGGAACCCACAAGTCTTCAACCCACATCCTTTCTTCAGCTTCCTGTCCTATGCATTCTTCCGTTTTTATTGTTTCTTTCGTTGAAGCTTTCTTCCAGCCTTTATTCCTTGCACCAGCTTCCGCCCATACTTCCAAGAACACTTTCAGGTTGGAGGCCATTGCTAGTGGGTTGTGTTTCTCTATTCCATTCTGTCATGCATGGGATGCCAGTCATGCAACTGTGCTCCTCGAGCGCCACCTCTTGGATGTCACTTGCCAAATATTCTTGTGGTCTTAAACAAGCAAACAAACAAAGTAAGGACAATCAGAAGTTTACTTGGAGAACATGACTAACACAGTTTAAAAAACAATGTGGCCCTTGATCTTGTTGTTAGCTCCTTTGCTAGTTCTTATATCAATCGTTCCTCACAGTCATTCCTCACAGTCGTTCCTTGCGGCCGCAGTGGCCCGACAAGTCACAATTGTTTTCTTTCGGGTGAAGAGTCCGTCATTTCGATGAACCGGTTAGGACGAAACTCGAAAATACAACCAGAATAGAAAGGGTTCATTAAAATGTGCATCTTCTCAAATGAAAATGGGTAGTTTTGCTACAGGCCAGGCTTGGTGACGAGTTGGCTCCACATAGGCTTGGCGCTGCAAGCAACTCCAAAAATAGACCGAGATTTGCTAAACATCTGGCAAAACTTGAGATTTCATGCAAGACCGGCGCTTAAGACCGCAAACATCAACAAGTAGTCTAGGCAAAGTGAAACTATCAGTGTTTTAGGAATCCATGGCGTTGGGTAAACAATATCATGCGCGCGTAGAACTAGCGCAGGTTACCTGGTAGTTGTACCTAGTAGTTGGCCTGCCGCGCGGCCGGTTCATTTCCCTCGCTTCCGAGAATTTTTTGGGGAGCATATTAACATCGACGCTGCTTAGGTGGATGCTATATTCATAGACATCAGAAGGCAAGCGTCGCGCCATCCAACCTCGGCAGGTGTGTCACCAAAGTTTGCCAAACCTGTGAGCATTACATCTCCGGGAGGTTTCGCTCAAGCAGCGCGTTCCCTCCAGCTTCAACAGAAAGTTGAAAAGCAATGGGCCCCAAGATCCAAAAAATATCGGTGGCCGCCCTTTACAAAACCTGCAGTGGGAATGTCTGGTCGGTGCAGTTTGGTGAAGTTGGTAGGTCTTGTGGTCTAGGAAGCTCTAAAAGCTTCGGCCTCCTTCGGGATAATGCGTAGGGGACGGATCGCCAAAGCCCTGAAGAAACCTAAATGAAAAACTTGCCTGAATAGAACGGGCACTATGTAATCCGGTCTAACCATCTTGACGACACCAAAGCTCCAAACCTCCGAAGGTCCATGGACGTTCTAGTTCCACAGCGCGTGACTGCGGGGTGCAGAACACATGCTGAAGGCTGGCGATCTTGTTGTAGCTAAAAGGGTGCTGAGTGGAAAATAAACGTCAACGCTGCAAGTACGTGACTTTGGCGTCCCAAAGCCATATCACGACACTATGATATGGAAAAGTCTTTGTTAGGCAATGCTTTCCAACGTGTCCATTGCCCCCTAAGCTACCTAAACATTACCAAAGGCCCGCTCTGATTCCAAGGAAGATACACCTAAATCAAATCAATTAACCATGCGTTTCCCAACCCAAGAACTTTGCTTTCCAGACCCCTCAACAACCACAGAAACGCTACAGTAAACCCCATGGAATTTCAATAATGTGTGTTCTGTTAAAGAAATGATGGTCCCAAAACAACACGGCCGTATACAAGCGGCGGACCTAGTAGTTTGCTTAACCCTTACTTAACGAAGTATGCTTAAGCAGTAGGGGCGTGGAGCGGGCTCCAAAAAAACACACACACACACCCACGCACCTTCATGTCGTTGACGGTGTCTTGCAAGGATTTGGTTGCCAAATATGAAGCCACGGTATCACTCTTGCTCACCTGGCAACGCAAAGTCTCAAAACAGCATGGCCTTGAGGCCTAGCGCAAACCGAGAGACATTCAAATGATCTGGTATGATGGTCTGTGGTTCAGGGGAACCTGCAGTCCTAGGCCTTCAATCACCATCATGACTCTTTGGAAACCTGCCTCCCCGTTCTTGGAGAAAACAAAAAGTCAAGCGACTCAAATCCAACCCGCCGTTCTTGGAACCCGCTCCTCGCCACGGATCTTCAACAAACCCTGCACCAGCTCCACGACTTGAAGTGTGCCGCTACCGTCTGCATCAATAATCTCAAACCTGCAGTGGGAATGTCTGGTCGGTGCAGTTTGGTGAAGTTGGTAGGTCTTGTGGTCTAGGAAGCTCTAAAAGCTTCGGCCTCCTTCGGGATAATGCGTAGGGGACGGATCGCCCAAAGCCCTGAAGAAACCTAAATGAAAAACTTGCCTGAATAGAACGGGCACTATGTAATCCGGTCTAACCATCTTGACGACACCAAAGCTCCAAACCTCCGAAGGTCCATGGACGTTCTAGTTCCACAGCGCGTGACTGCGGGGTGCAGAACACATGCTGAAGGCTGGCGATCTTGTTGTAGCTAAAAGGGTGCTCAGTGGAAAATGAACGTCAACGCTGCAAGTACGTGACTTTGGCGTCCCAAAGCCATATC